AAACCAATGGAATTTAGACATATGGGAGTAACGAAAACTCTTGAACGAATATGGAGAAAATACAACTTCCCTTATATAAAAAACAAAGTTAAAGAAGTATTGGATAAGTGCAGCACCTGCAAACAAAACAAGAACAGCAGGCACAAACCATACGGAGAATTATAACCCCTACCAGTCGTACAACGACCATGGGAATCAATCTCATGGGACTTCATAGTGAAGCTCCCACTATCGGAAGAACCATTGACAAAAGTCAAGTACGACAGTATCTTTACAATTGTCGACAGACTTACGAAATACACATACTTCATTCCATATAAGGAAGGAAGCAATACCGAAGAACTAGCATATACGTTCTTACGGATAGTTGTGGCCAATCATAGACTATCAGAAGAAATAATTTCGGATCGAGACAAGCTATTCATATCGAAATTCTGGCAATCACTCATGGCATAATTGGGAACCAACCATAAGCTGTCTACAGCTTGGCACCCTAGGATAGATAGACAAACAGAAAGACTAAACCAAATCATCAAACAGTACCTTCGATACTACGTCAATTATAAGCAGAACAATTGGGTCATGTTACTATCAGTAGCCCAATTCAGTTATAACATATCGATCAGCAAATCAACAAGAATATCACCATTCTACGCAAACTATGGATTCAACCCAGAACTCAGCTACCCAATCAAGACAGAACCAGAATCAGAAAAAGCAACACTCACAGTAGAACAACTTCAACAGCTCCACCAAGAAATGAGGAACCAACTAGCATTCATCAGAGAACGAATGTCGAAGTACTATAACCTTCAAAGGATGAAGGGACCATCCTTTAAGGAGGGAGATAAAGTCTACCTCATACGATGGAACATAAAAACAAAACGACCAAGCGATAAACTGGACCACAAAAAACTTGGACCATTCAAAATCAAACGGAAAATATCAGAATCCAACTACGAACTATCATTACCTAAAACTATGAGGATACACCCCGTTTTTCATATTTCACTTTTGGAACCAGCATACGAATCTACGAAACTTCAAATAGACGTTGAAGTAGAACCAGACCAAGAATACGAAGTGGAAAGGATACTAGACTCACGAAAGAAAGGACGACAAACATAATATTTGGTCAAATGGCAAGGCTATGACGACTCGGAAAGTACATAGGAACCACTCAAGAACTTGGCGAAGTCTTAGGAACTTGTGGAGGACTTTCACCAAAGAAACCCCAAGGAGTAGAAGACTCAAGGCCTATCGTGTCCCAGTCAATCACGTCTACAGCCCCAGAGAGCTGCGCGAAACCGACGGACTGTTGTTCCGCGCGGATAGCCTCTTCTTGCGTACGGATGCCATCCTCCTCGTCTAACTCCACCATTCCCCTGCGAAAGGCCTCGGAATGTTTCTCTTCCAGCAATTTTCTTTGTTTTCGCAAGCGCATTAAGCGAGCCATGATCTCTTGAAGCTCAAGCTCGGCCTTCTCCTCTTCACCCTTAAGACGTTTCTGTTCAACGGCCGAACGAGTTACTATGGCACGTTAGTAACAAACATCACTACAAAAGAACGACCAATCGTACGAATCGACGCCACGTTATTTCCATCATAAGAACGGCCTCGTTTGACACATTCACTACAATGAGAAGAACTGTCACCCATCCGACAAACAAGCTTATGCTTAAAACAGTTCGAACAAGGCATCACTTTGGAGCCTTGGGACTCGATCAGGGAAGCAAGGGCGGAACGCTGCGACGCTTTCTTGGATCGGAATTTCTCTACACGAACCGACATATTGTCAGCGTCGCAAGTAATAAGGAAGATGGTTCTAGGACCTACCAAGTGGGCAATACCTAGGTATTTAAACTAGGTCTCTGGGACATAGACCTTAAGGAGGGACATCGTGTCACGGCCAGAAGTTCGACC